CGGACGCTTAACCGACTGTGCCACCCAGGCGCCCCTCTTTTATTTTTTAAAGTTTATTTATTTTGAGAGACAGTGCATGTAAGCAGGGGAGGGGCGGAGAGAGAGCACCCCAAGCAGGCTCCATGCTGTCAGCCCAGCCCCCGCCTTGGGCCCCGTCTCACCTGAGCCGAGATCAAGAGTCGGATACTTAACCCATCGAGCCGCTCAGGCCCCAAATTTTGCCTTTAACTTAGATTTATGGTCCATTTCGAGTTAGTTTTTATATGTTGCTCTACATAAGTTTCTGGGGTTTTTTTTTTGGTTTTTGGTTTTTTTTTTTGAGTGCTTGGTTGTTGCAGCAACAGTTTTGAAAAGACGATTGTTTTTCCTTGAATTGTCCTAGACTTTGCCCACAGGCAGTTGGCACAGATGGCTGCATGTTTCTGGAGCGTCTTGTGATGCGTGGATGCAAACGTGTGTTTATTCACACGTGGCCCGCCTGGGTGCCGGCCGCTGGCCAGCGAGCGGGAGGTCCGGCGGCCAGCGAGCGGGAGGTCCGGCCTCCAGCTTTGGTCCAGGTTGTGGTGGAAACCCCTTGTCAGTGCTCGCGTGAAGAGGCTAATGAGATGTTCATGGGGCCTGGCTGCTGTTTGGTCACCTGATGAGAGTTGGGGCCTGTCTGCTGTTTGGGTCACTTGGTGAGAGTGGGGGACTATCTGCTGTTTGGTCACCTGGGGAGAGTTGGGGACTGTTTGCTGTTTGGGGTCACCCGGTGAGAGTAGGGGACTGGCGGTGTTTGGGTCACCTGGGGAGAGTTGGAGGCTGTGTGCTGTTGGGTCACTTGGTGAGAGTTGGGGACCATCTGCTGTTTGGGTCCCTTGGGGAGATTTGGGGGACTGTGTGCTGTTGGGGTCACCCGGTGAGAGTTGGGGACTGGCTGCTCATTGGGTCACTTGGTGACAGTGGGGGGCTGTGTGCTGTTGGGGTCACCTGGTGAGAGTTGGGGCTTGTCTGCTGTTGGGGTCACCTGGTGAGAGTTGGGGCCTGTCTGCTTTTGGTTCACTTGGTGAGAGTGGGGGCTGTCTGCTGTTTGGTCACCTGGTGAGAGTTGGGGCCTGTCTGCTTTTGGGTCACTTGGTGAGAGTTGGGGGCTGTCTGCTGTTGGGGTCACCTGGGGAGAGTTGGGGGCTGTCTGCTGTTTGGGGTCACCCGGTGAGAGTAGGGGACTGGCGGTGTTTGGGTCACCTGGGGAGAGTTGGGGGCTGTGTGCTGCTGGGTCACTTGGTGAGAGTTGGGGACCATCTGCTGTTTGGGTCCCTTGGGGAGATTTGGGGGACTGTGTGCTGTTGGGGTCACCTGGTGAGAGTTGGGGGCTGTCTGCTCTTTGGGTCACTTGGTGACA